CTATATAGCTCCAGATCGCAACAGAAGTCATTTAAGGCTACCTTTCCGATAGAACAGGTTTATATTATTAAACAAACTAAATAGCCTTATGTTATTTATCTTATTTACAGTTCATCACTGTAGTATGCTGAAACAACCGGACAAAATTTTTTTATCATTTTTCCAACAATTTACTATTGAAAAATAACTTTCGTAGTGAGGGACAGGCCAAAATCCCTGCTTTATCAACATAAATGCAAATTTAACCATGGACCATAATATTTAATTTACTTAATTTTGAGGTAGTATTGATGATAGAAGACATGCTAATGTTATGTTTTCAAATTATGCATGTATCTAGTATCATAGTGATTTTATGATATTTCTCTGGGATGCAAAATGTACCGATTCCACGGAATGACCCCTGTACCGTTGGCAGGCCACTTCAGTACCTGGACCCTTTTATCTGAATCCATTATGTTGTAATTGATGTAGTGAGTGGTTTAGCATTGTCATGTTGGAAAATGCAAGGGCTTCCCTGAAAGAGATCATGCAAGGGCTTCCCTGAAAGTCATCTGTATGGAAGCATACTGTATGTTGCTCTAGAACCTGGATATACCTTTCAGCATTGATGGTGCCTTTCCAGATATGCAAGCTGCCCATGCCGTATGTACTAATGCAAACATCCCAACTTCTTTGGAATTGGGGTTGTATGTGATTTCTAGTTTTCTACATAGCATATTCACCGGATGGACTAGACAACGGAAACATTTCATTTCCTTACTTGTACAGTTCATACACTGTTGTGTCTATACTACAGTACCTAAGACAATAAGTCTTGGAGAGTCTGGAAGTGACAATTCTTTTTCTATATCAGCTGCTGTTGCCAACACCTGAAAAAGATAAGATTTTTAAAATGAGGTTAGATTAACATTCATATAATCTCCTACAGCAAAATGAGGTTTCTGTCGTGCCTGTTACAGGTTATACTAGCTGATAATACTGATAGCAAAAATCTTACTCTTAGTCATTTATTTATTGAAGAAAATGATCCAATATTACATATCTGTCAGTGGCAAACGTATCTGAACCTCTAGGATTAGCAGGTAATTTGAAGGTGAAATTAAGGTGTCTTCAATCAATGGAATGACAATCAGGTGTGTTTGGGCACCCTGTTAAAGTTATCAAAGTGTTAACACATGTTTGTGGAAGTGTATCATGGCACGAACAAAGGAGATAACCGAGGACCACAGAAAAAGGGTTGTTGATGCTCATCAGGATGGAAAAATTTACAAAACCATCTCTAAAGAGTTCGGACTCCACCAGTCCACAGTAGGACACATTGTGTACAACTGGAGGAAATTTAAGACCATTGTTACCCTACCCAGGATTGGTCAACCAACTAAGATCACTCCAAGAGCAAGGCGTGTAATACTCATCCAGGTCACAAAGGACCCCAGGGTAACTGCTAAGCAACCTAAGGCCTCTTTTGCACTGGCAAATGTTAATGTTCATGAGTCCACAATCAGGAGGACACTGAACAACAATGGTTTTCATGGCAGGGTTGCAAGGAGAAAGCCACTGCTCTCCAAAAAGAACATTGCTGCTCGTCTGCAGTTGGCTAACGGTCACGTGGACAAGAAGGCTTGTGCACGGATGAGACCAAAACTGGACTTTTTGGTTTGAATGAGAAGTGTTATGTTTGGAGACAGGAAAACACAACTGAATTCCAGCATAAGAACCATCTGTGAAACATGGTGGTGATAGTATCATAGTTTGGGCCTTTTTTGCTGCATCTGGGCCAGGACAGCTTGCCATCATTGATGGAACATTGAATTCTGAGTTATACCAGCACATACTAAAGGAAAATGTCAGGACATCTGTCCATGAACTGAATCTCAAGAGAAAGTGGGTCGTACAGCAAGACCACGATCCTAAGCACACACGTCATTCTACCAAAGAATGGTTAAGGAAGAATAAAGTTAATGTTTTGGAATGGCCTAGTCCTGACCTTAATCCAATTGAGATGTTATGGAAGAACCTGAAGTGAGCAGTTCATGAGAGGAAACCCACCAGCATTCCAGAACTGAAGCTGTTCTGTAAGGAGGAATGGACTAAAATTCCTCCAAGCTGATGTGCAGGACTGATCAACAATTACTGGAAATGTTTAGTTGCAGTTATTCCTGCAAAAAGGGGTCACACCAGATACTGGAATGAACAGTTGACATACTTTTGCCATTGACAGATATGTAATATTGGATAATTTTCCCCAATAAATAATTGACCAAATGAAGTATTTTTGTCTCATTTATTTAACTGGGTTCTCTTTATCTACTTTGAGGACTTGTGTGAAAATCTGATGATGTTTGAGGTCATATTTATGCAGAAATGTGGACAATTCTATAGGGTTCACAAACTTTCAAGCACCACTGTATGTTATTCAGGGAGGAAGTGATGATCCCAGTCATGCTTGCTAGTGTCCTGGGGTCTGGTTGCCTGCTGCTTCCTGGGGCCATGCCTGTTGCATGTTTCCCCATGGGGGGTCTGATTGCCTTCATTAGACACTGCCATAGTCATCCAGACCCTGTCCTTGGAGGAGCAAGCCTCAGGATTTTCAGCTCTTGTCTGTCTCTGCCTCAAGTCGTGTTTCACAATGGAAATGACATCAGATAGGGGGTGAATTACTTAATGGCTACCATGGTGACCTGTACTTCTGACTCCCGCAATGAGGCATGTATAAAATTCAGTGAACCAGGAAGCAACAGATGCCGCCACAACCCTCATCTGATGTGTGTTTTCCCCTGCAGGCATATCTGCGTATGTGCGACCTGCCACTCAGGGTCTGTTGTCGGGCCAACGCCGAGCACATGTCTCCCTCTGGTAAGTCTCTGTGCTCTGTAGGGTCCCCTCCTCTTTTACTGCTTCCCTGTGTTGCCGCTGGTACAGTGGCAAAGCTGCTATCCCATGAAGCACTGGGGCCGTCAGGTGCACTTACTTGCCTGCATGCACTCTGTGTGTGTGTGTGTGTGTGTGTGTGTGTGTGTGTGTGTGTGTGTGAGTGCGTGCGTGTGAGAGAGAGTGTGTGTGAGTGCGTATGTCTCTGTGGATTTGTATTTACCACATTGTGGAGACCAAGAGGGTATTTTTCGTACATGAATTACTCTATTAGCCGGATGTAATTGTTGACAATTTGGCATGATCCTGGATCTGTCGGTTTTTTTAAACTCTTGCTGGATGTGTTGTCATAGCAGCACATCCAAATCCTCAAGCCTACTCGGAGCAGGTTTGTTCTACGTAAACAAGGATTAGCTCACACACTTAATCAGTGTCCGTGCATGGAAATCCATTCGGTCATGGCCTCGCCATTTATGGATGAGCGACCAATTGCAATCGGTGCACAAATAATAAGAAGGGAATTTCAAATTGCAAGGGTTTTGCGTGATCGGCAAGATCCTTTATTGTTGCCGGATGACATTCTTTTCAAAAGATACCACTTGAGCCGAGATGGAATATTATATCTTAAAGATTTATTAGCTCCATATAATAGAAGTCCAACTAGGCGAAGTCGGGCTCTCGCAGCCACACAGACAATGTGCATTGCCTTGAGATATTTTGCAAGCGGCACTTTTTTGTACATTGTAGGCAATGCGGAAAATATATCAGAGTACAGTTTGCCAGGCAATTTGCAATTGCAAGTGCAGGCAATTTTATGCCATTGCAGGTAATGTGTACGCAATAAATTTACAGTTCTATAAAGAATTTAATATTCTCATTACCCAGAATTTCCAAAGGTTTTGTCTGCCTTCTTATTAGCTCCAAAAGGAATGTTTTATAAATATTAAAGATCTCCTACATTTCATATGCATAAAATTAATAAACACATACATACATTCATACAGTGCCTGACAAAAGTCGTCACTTAACCAAGTTGTAGGAACAACAAATAACAACTTGACCTGTAGTTAATCAGTTGGAATCAGAAATGGCTTATAAGAAAAGGTAAAGCCCTCTAGATTATGCTTATTATACCAAAATAAAGTTTTGCATCATTCATTGAGTTTTGTCATGTAATTAGAACAGAAAGGTCAACTTTTGCATGGACAAAAGTCTTGTCATATACAAAAATAATGTAGAAATTATACATATACTTCATTTAAAATACACAAACATGCTATAATAACATCAGAACATAAAGTCATGGTGCCTTGGGAAAAAAAAGCAATAATGTGTATGACTCCCATGAGCTTGGAGGACCACATCCATATGTCTTGGCAATGACTGAAATAACTTGTTGATGAAGTCATCAGGAATGGCAAAGAAAGCAGTTTTGCAGGACTGCCAGGGTTCGTCTAGATTCTTTGGTTTCGTCTTCCAAGCCTCCTCCTTCATCTTACCCCAGACATAATGTTCATGTTCATGTCTGATGACTGGGCTGGCCAATCCTGGAGCACCTTGATCCTCTTCAGTTTCAGGAACTTCAATGTGGAGGCTGAAGTATGAGAAGGAGCGCCATCCTTCTGCAGAATTTGCCCTCTCTTATGGTTTGGAATGTAATGGGCAGCAAGAATATCTTGATACTTCAGGCTATTGATGTTGCCATCGACTCTGCAGATCTCTCGAACACCCCCATGGATGTAACCCCAAACCATGATTTTTCCTCCACCAAACTTCTGGGTGATTTTTGAGTTCATGCGGGTTCTAATCTGTGATTGGTTGAATCATTAAAAGACATGACAAGACTTTTGTCCTTGCAAAAACAGGTGTTATGGATTTTAACAAGCTGTGAACTTCAGGACACTTTTTGACTGTTTCATTTTGTACCCAGTTATGAATGTGAAAGCCCTTGGCATTAAATTGATCCATTCATTGTAACAATTGATTGATTAGAAATAAAATTATATGCTTTTTTAACTTACTCTGTCCTTATGTGACAAGACTTTTGTCAATGACTGTGTGTGTGTGTGTGTGTGTGTGTATGTGTATATATATATATATATATATATATATAT